TCTGTAAAGTAGATCACCACATCTCTAGGCAGTTGCCTTTGCCTTGCCACCCAGGAGTTCATTCTATAGACCTTATCAATTTTACAAAAAACTTCCTCAGGGTCAACCTTTAACATTACAGCCAGAGCATCAGCGCAAACCCTTCTCAGATCTTCTCTATTATTCTCTTTTATACCTCTGAGCCTCACAGCAAACTCCATAAATCTGAATTGCATCATTGTCACTTCATTTTCAAGCCTTTGTGTTTTATTATCAACATTAGAAATTTTTTGGTTAGCTTCTTTCATTTTAGATTCTACTTCTGAGCTAAGATGTTCCACTTTCTTATCAACTTGGAGCACTACGTCTGACAAACCAGTCACAACTGTCAGTATTTCCCGTTTCATCTTGTCATACTTTTCTCGAACCATCTCTTTAAATTCCTGCTGCAATTTTTCAAATTTCTGATCTAAAGCCCCAGCAATAAATTCCTTCAAATCGTTAAATCCAGATTCTTGTGTTTGGGTCTGTATCTGTGAACTCAAAGGCTGCTCTTTTGGTTTATGAGTGGGGGAGCCCTCCCCAGCAGCTTTAGCTGGCTTTGTTTGTTTTGAAGCCATTCTTCGCAGCCTGACTCTTTCTAAAAAGGATATCCTCTCTCCCTTTCCACCACAAAAGCCTTTCAGGAATTTCCCCAGCTTTAGTCAAGTCCCAAGGGAGAGGGAACAAGTCAAATCAGTTTTAAAAAAACTTTTCCTCTTTCTTCTGGCCAGCAGTGTTACTTTTTGTTACTTTGTAGTGCAAACAAGCTCAAACAATTACACTTTCACTTTCAGCATTCCTTATTGCTAAAGCCGGGCACCATTTTAAAAGAACTTTCACTTCTTCTCAGTTGCTAAATTCATTCACAGGGCTAAAAAAAATACTTGCAGTTTGATTTTCAAGTCCAGATTCCACCCTGCTTATTTTTAACAATTTTCTTAGCTTTCTCTCATTTCGTTGGTCACATCGCCTAGCTCTGCAATTAAGCAGAGTCTCCCACGGAGCCCAGAGCCTCAGCGTGCTGTATAGGGAGCCTCACCCTGCTTCCTCCCCAGACGCTAAAAAAAACGATCTGGGGATTTCAAAGGGGGCTCTACCTGTCGCGCTGGCTCTTCTCCCGATTCCTCCGGATCGTGGAGTTTTCCAAGCCGTCTCTCAGCTGTAGAGGCAGCTCTTTACAAGCAACGGGGCTGGCGGTCTTGAGAGGACCGTCTAACAGCGACAACGGCTCCAACCAGAAGTCAAGAGCCAGAGGACCTTGTTCCAGTGGGACTGCATCATGGCCTGGAACTAGTTGACCATCTCAGCCCACTGAGCCTCAAGGCGCCGGTACCGGGCCTTGCACTCCCGCAGGTCTTCCCTCTGCTCGGCAAGCCTATGCTCATAGTCCTCAGTGAGGTGCTTCTACTGAGTCTCCTTCTCGGTCAGATCCAATTTGAACTGAATTGTTTTGCCAACTCTTTCTTGTGGTGGCTGCTTAGCTCCAACAACTGCTTCCTGGTTGCGGCCCTCCTCGCAGGCATGCGAGGAGTGGCTGGGAGGAGAGGGGTGAGTAGAGGCTAGTGAGGTGCCCCTCGACGTGAGTGACATCAAGTTGGGCATGCTCACCCAGTCGCATGACCATACCCACTCAGCCGGTCATTAGGCAGATCATATTAGTGGTCCGTGGGATTTAAAATTATGAATTTAGTGGTTTCTGAGCTCCGAAAGGTTGGTGACCCCTGCTCTAGAGCAGTGTTTCTCAATCTTAGCAACTTTAAGATATAAGGACTTCAACTCCCAGAATTTCCCAGCAAACATGGAGAATTCTGGGAGTTGAAATTGACATAACTTAAAGTTGCTAAGGTTGAGAAATACTGCTCTGGAGACAAGGACTCCAGTCTTGCCAATTTCATCTGAATATCTCCTGGGCATATCAGAAACAGAAAAAGCCCTGAGAAACTCCCTCCTTGTTGCCAACAGTTACACACAAACAAAATACATAAGTGAAATACTGTAGGTCCTATTCTAAAAGTTCCTCAAATGACTAGGACAATCATTTGAGAATGACAGCCACATGGCAATTATTTCAAACTAAAATAATATTTCAATATTTGAGAGCAATTCCTGGGCAAAGCCAATCTACGGTACTTAAAAATATTTGGAAGCCTGGATGAACAACTTCATCTTATTAATAGAGACAGCAAGCTGGCCTCGTGCCTATTTGCAAATGAACAAGAATTCCTTTTTCAGACACCTTATAAAAAGGGGGGGGGGGGGGGGGAGGCGAGGATGAAGTTGCCTGCCTTGAACAAACTCCTGACAAACCTTTAGGATGTGTATTTTGAAATTGAAGGTAAAGATGTGTTCTTATTTTTTTAGTTGCCCAGTGATTTCCTGATAGTCCACTACTTGATGATGAATCAATTTCTCATTGTCTCGCCAATCTTATATGAAAGAAGCATCCAAATAGACTTCAAGCCTATGCTTTGGTTCCTCTCCTGCAGGCATTGTGTAAAAGGGCAATGAGCCCTTAAGAGCTTCCACTGTACTCCTTTTGTGATTCTGCACACATCTTCACCTAAACACCCAATTTCTCCCTATTGAGCTGGGCTACTTATGGCACAGATACCTCCTCCCTCTTTACCTCCAGAAATTGCTAGAATTTTTTTTTTAAAAAAATATTAAAACTGGGGCCTATACTTTGGCATAGTGCTTTTTATGGGGCTATGCTCCTGTGCAGACCTTCACCAGCAAGAACCGGGATGCAAAGGGGCAGGACCAGAAATTTCAAAGATGCCCAGGTAAGGGAGGCACCAATGTCCTTAGCCTATCTATTTCTGAAGAATACTAGGGTTCTTCATGTGTCGACATTGTCACACTAGGGATCACTCTTGAGTCCCCTACCCCTTTCTCACTGAGAAAAACTGTTCTCAATTGAAAATGCATTGTTGGGCTTCTCTGGCTACCAAAACTAGCTTTCCTGTTTCCCATCTCACACTAGACTGCCTATATGGACAAAACAGCTACAACTGAAATACATGCTGTAGCATTTGCTTCTGTATTAGGCACTTATGACAACAAGGAAGTCAATGTACATTTCTCATCCGCAGTTCCATGCACTTATTTTCTTACACACTTGTTCATCAGGAAGCCAATTTCAGTTTTACAGATGAGAGAGAAACCAAATCTGCAAAAACTGCATTTGAACCGACACCTACACATGATCCAAATATACAGTATATTTAAAACATTCCAAGATTACCTCCTAAATGCTAAATAAGACCAATGTTTGAACAGGGCCAGGTAGCAGAAATTAAGGATTGTCCCTGAATAGATTTGCAACAAACAACAATCTATTTGTGAGGAGGAGCTAAAGGGACAGGGGGGTACCCAAGGTTACTTACTGTAAGCAGGCAAATTAATAGTGGCAACACTGTCCTGACTCAGACAAAAGGTGCTAATTGTGTGGAAAGGAAATTTCTCCATGCAAAGCATTACAATTGCTTCGACACGCATGATATATTACCATCTGCTGCTTTGTTCTAGTTGCTGTTGTGCAGCTTAACATACATGGCATATGTTATTGGGGGGAAAATGGGATGAAATATAGTACGTTTCTAATAGATATATAATATTATTTAAGCATTTTGTTGACTAGGGCATAAAACACCAAACCATCCTGTTAAATGCCGAGTTCAGAAAACAGTATAAAACTGACCCAGGTATATATACAGTTTGTTCTTTTCCTAAAATGTATCCATGAGCATATTTCCTCCTCAGGAACCTCCAAGCAGTGTGAGGAAATATAGGAAATCTGTAATGAAAGCCTTGATTTCAAACAACAAGGTTCAGTCTCTGTTTACCAGCAGTGGTGTGGGATCAGGTTTACAGTGTCAGGACTTGGCACTAAGACTAGATCTGGGTTAGCTCCTGGCTTACATGTTGCATATCTGCAGGCTCATTGGGCTCTAGTAGCTGAATCTGAGAACCCAGTTACAATTTCAGGATAACCTGATCTATTACTGCAGAGTTTCCCAAACTTTCTGGGTTGGTGGCCCAGAATGGGGGGGGAGGGGGGAATAGGGGATGGTTTTGTGGGAGAGGTAAAGGCAGGGGTGTGTGCATGCATGAGCCCCCTTTGGTTGTGTGAGTGGGGCCACAAAAAACCCTACACTTGCATAAGTGGGGCTGCGCGCGCACACATGTGCAAGCACACCAGCCAGCCATTCACGTGGACTGGTTGCGAATAGGCCATGGGTCAGTAGTGGGCTGTGGCCCACAGGTTGGGGACCCCTGTACTACTGCTTTGAAACAGGAAATCAAAGTCATTGTCATAGACTCATCTATCTCTATCAGAACAACAAGCATGAACCCTGTAACATAGAATGAGGGCCACCAGACATATTTTGCAGAGTAGCCTTGCATAATAGACATTTCTGTGACTTCTTTATATTCAGCAAAACAGTGGTCTAAGCCAGGGGTGGTTCTACTTACCTTTACTACCAGTTCGCAACGGGAACGCATGCGCAGATCATCAATTATGATGTCCGGGTGGATGGGTGGAGCCTCCTGCTGCTTTTACTACTGGTTCTAAAGAACCAGACAGAACCGGGAACAAACCAGCACTGATCTAAGCCAATAAAATAATTTATTTCCACACCACTGTCACGCTTTATGCTAGTCTTCCCCTGATTGTTTTGAAGTACAAGCCCCAGTATTCATGATATTTGGCACCCTAAACGGAGCTAATTAGAGTACAGATCAAATATTCCTGCAGGGAATTATGAGGGAAAGATTGTTCTATACCCTCTTAGGTGATGTTTGCCACAGAATAACTGTATCCATTGACATTTTCAGCGATGCAGGGTGGGCTATTAATTTTTTTAAAAAAAGTGTATTGAGACATTTTATTTTTTATTACATTTATATAACCACCCATTTCACTTTCATGAGACTTAGTGGCATACACAATTATATAATAATATGGGTTTACAAACCTTTGGGCTTTAAGAAGACACTCTGTTGTGCAGTTCATCAGTGGACACAGAGATGACTCTGCAGTTCCAGTCTGGAAATAGAGCCAGCACAGTGGGGGCACTGGAAGTCCATTGTTGTAGTATCTGTGAAAACCATTCTTTGATGTTGGTCATAGTTTTCTATCAGTTTTTGGCTATGCCTGTCTTCAAAGCCAGTGGAGGCGGCATAGCAAAGGGCTTGCCAGTAAATTCTGCTGGCAGCTTCTAATTCCTTGGCTGGATGTCACAGTGACATTAGGTTTCTTTCTTAGTGTCTTTGTAGTGCTTATGTGGTTGACCTTCAGAATTCTTCCTAAGATTCCAGCATACCATAGAACAATTGGCAAGGCCTATGGCAGTCAATCATTCTGATGACATAGCCCACCCATCTCATCTGGGCTCTGATAATTACAAATTCAATAGACTATGCAAGATCCAAGATATGCGTGCCTACCAACCCTGTCCTAACATTCCTTTTTACTTACTCTTTTCATGTATTCAAATTATGTTTATACTTTTACCTGTTATCTTATATATGCTTGACAAAATAAACTTATGACTTATGACTTAAGTTAGAGACATAGTTTTGCCAACGAATACCAAGGAATGGAGTTAAGAGCACACATGTGATATTTATTTGGTTGTTTGATGCACCTTTGGTTTACAGAGTCCAAAACTCACATCTATATAGGCAGGAAGGTATAACCTGGTCTCTAGTCGTCTTCCTGAAAAAGTACACAAGGATATCCCTTCTTACTTTCACAAATCTCAGATTTATCCTATAACCGTTTCAGTTCCTTCATATTATCCTCTTCATTTCATTTAAATAATACTACTAAGGCTTTAACAACCTTTGCTCATCAAAGGCCTTCACCACAATTCTCTGGAATCTCTCTGAATCTCAAACAGAATTATTTTTCCCTCCGTTCTAATAGTGCTAAATTATCTACATCTTTTTCCATCTCTCTGTTTACAACTTCTATCTTGCTTTCCAAAATTTCCAGTTTAATTTGTTATACATTTCCTGTCACTTGACCCACAGATTCCCCAATCTTCTTAACTTCTTCTTTCATTTCATCTTTACAAGTCTTTCTTCCATTCTCTCTTCAAAGCAAACAATAACTGCCATGTTATCATTAATTGATTCAGAGAACTTGCCCAATTCATCAAACATTCTCTGCAAAGGGGGCAAAGTGGGAGAAGAGAGGAGAGGGTCATTAGAGCAGGGGTCCCCAACTCCCGGTCTGGGATCTCTGGGATAATCCTCTTTCTGTAAGGTGCTCTAATGCAGCCCCCCCAACTTTTGTGTACCGTCTGCATCCCACAGAAGGGGCTTTGCTTGTTTACGCAGCCCAGTTTCTGGCATGCTATGGACTGGTATCAATCCACAGATCCAGGTTCGGGGACCCTTGCTCTAATGACCCTCTCCTCTCTTCTCTCACTTTGCCCCATTTCTGGAGGTTGTCATTCTAATATTGTAGTCCAAAAATAAAAATGTCTCAGTTCCAAGGGGGGTGGGGGAAGGAAGACAAACTTCTCCTCCCCCCCCTCTTTTGCCTTTCTATGTCCTTAATATGTTAATCTCATTGGACATTCTGTAAGTTCTCATATTACTTTTATCTTCATTTTGTAAAATCCACTAATTTTCTATGTTCTTTATTGATAAAGAACATTTCCAGGAAAATCCAATCTGTTTTTCCAATATTTTCAAAAGCACTTTTGCCAAAAGAATAATATTTCAAAATTACTGCCTCCTTTATTAATGTAAACTTTCTTACATTGAATCCTTGTTAAACTTTTTGCCAGTAATTTACAATTCTTTAAACTTTTTTCTTTGGTCCAAAAAAATGATTTACTCATCAAATAGTTTTCCCTTATCCTGTCAATCAGAAAATCTCTCTTTAATTTTAAAATGATTGTATCCGATAGTGATTTAAAAAGTGAGGCTTTTGCAAACCTTATGCCCATTATAGGCTGCCTTGTGGTTGTGAGCACACTTGGAATCCCTTGACTTACAACTGTTCAACTCACAAATCAACTTCAAAGAACATCTCCATGGGCACTATTGATGCATAATAGGAAACAGTGCAAAGGGCCAACTGGTCTAAACTGCCACCTGCTCTTCAGCAGAAGTTGTGAGAATTCCCAGATTGCATATCCAGTCTCTCCGGAGAAGTTGAGTCATGACAATTGGACTTCTTTTCTTTTTTGGTTTGGAACATTTCACTACTTATCTGTTGTGACCTATGCATCCTGAGTCATTAAAACACACGACTAGTCCCAAAAACCTCTTTTACTGCAACAGCTGTGAATTCTGTTCATTCACAGATGAGTTCCAATTAGTTATAAAGTGTCCTTTGGGATAATCCCACCTTTATCTCCCTTGACACACTGCCAAATACCTAATTGGCAAAGCTGCACGGAGTCCAGAATCAAACAGAGCATCAGGCTTTAAGCTGAATGAACAAATGTTGCTTCCTGCAAAGGCCCAGATGCTTTGCTCCTCTTTTAAGTCTTATGGGAGAGGTCAATCATCTCCCAGCCCTACTCCTGAGTTGTCCCTTTTGTTTTAGCTGTTCTTGTCTTCTGGCAGCTCTGCGCATGTGCGCATTGGGAACAGGCTTCCCCTGTTCCTCTGCCTCACTGAGGTCCAACTCTGGAGGCTCCGGAGGCAGCACGTACCTCCCAGATGGCCCTTTCTCTGCCTCCGATGCAGAGTCCTCGTCTGAGCCTTCCCCAGACTCCAGGACTGGCCCATGGTCCTCCCTAGCCTCCCTGTCTGACTCTGCTGCCAGCTCCGCGGGCTGCTGGTGGACCAACACATTATCCAAGTAACTTCTTCTGCTTATTTAAGATGATGTATCCAACAATGCTGGATAATTGATACCATGCTTTAATGCAATTTATTAATGTGAGGACCACTTGTATATTATATCAAGATGGTAATTGGAACTGGAAATTCTTATCAGTAAGTGACAGGGTCTTTAAACACTGACATCAGTGTTGCACCAGTTAGCAAAAGCAGTTCCAGTAATATCAATTGCCATTGTTAAGCAAACGGATCATCGTGGGTCATTAAGAGGCAACTTCATGAGAGTGTGATTTCTGACTTCCTGATAGTTTTTCCAATTTTGCTTGTTCAGGGAAAGTTGAAAATCATGATCCACAGGATGCTGTGATTTTGTAATTGTGAGCTGTTAACCAAGCACTCAAATTGTGATCAAATCACTGCAGAGATGCTGTAGCAGCTGCAACTATGAGGACCAATAGTAAGTCCCATTTTCAGTTCCATTGTAACTTTGAATGGTTGCTGAGCAAGTGGTCATTAAGCAAGAACTACCTGTAGCATTGTTGCTGTTTTCTGGGCATCATTCTAAAAGTGGACTTGAAAAAGAGATCCTAGTAGAAAGAAATAAACAAAACGAGGCTTTTTAGCATTGATAAATGACATAATAGACATGTTACACATATTCAGAGGATTTATTGTTACCTATCTACCTACCTATCTAAAAATCTGTATGGAGACATTCTAATCCAAAACTCTAAATAGAATAGGATGTGGTGGACAGAGTTTCTACTAATAATCGAGACACCATCGTCTCACAGAAAATAGTTTTATGGAAATGAAATTTCTAAAATTGTATTAAACCAAATACTTGCCATTTGTACCTTTGGGCACAGAAGAGCTATCTAGAATGAGTTAGTTTCAGCCCTAAAGGGAATACATTATTCTTTACAAGATATTATTACACTGATAAAAGCTCTCAAATTTTTACTTTTTTGAGATGTGTCTGGCAAAGGAAAGGTGTATCATAATTATGTCATTTGTCCCTGGAAATGAATCTTTTTCAGAGGGCAGCAGCTCAGTTTGAATGTGGTACTTGGTATTCTTCTCTGGTCTCTGTCACTTCATTACTATTGAAATGTATGTTAATTTCATCAAGGTGCAGAAAGATATTTTCCTTACATATACATGAACTAACTTTATTACTATTTAACTAGTACTTTTGTCTTTATTTATCCAAGAGAGCTTTTTTGGGCAAAAGTAAAAGCAAGTGATTTTAAGGAATCATATATTGGAGTTGTACCCAATCAAGTTTTCTTAAGAAATAGTTGCTAGTTTGACTGAAATTATCCCTGACTGAATCCTGAATGGGAGCAATTGTATCTGGGCTGAAAAGATACAGTTGGCAGCAGCAAAAACTTTTCTGTACCATTATGCTGTTGCATAATGGTCATCTTTTATCAGCCAGATAAGGTAGCCCTATAACAACCTCAAAATTGGCTTACTTGGATGCATTGGAACAAATGACTATGAAATACACAATCAAGTCAATATATACCTCATATTTATTGTTATTTGGCTGCTATTCTACTTGAAGCCAAGTTTTTACTTTGACACTCATTATCTGGTCCCATTTGTGGATGGAGTCATTTACTTTGATTGATTACAATCATCAGTGTGAATTTATTATAGACATTTGCAATATATAGAGCTGAAGTAGTGCAGTGGTTAGAGTGCAGTACTGCAGGCTACTTCAGCTGACCGCTAGCTGAAGTTCGGCAGTTCAAATCTCACCTCAAGGTTGACTTCCATACTTTCGAGGTGGGTAAAATGAGGACCCAGATTGTTGGGGACAATATGCTGACTCTGTAAACCGCTTAGAGAGGGCTGTAAAAGCACTATGAAGCGCTATATAAGTCTAAGTGCTATTGCTATTGCTATTGCTATTTTGGAAAAATTAGCACCTATTCTCATCTCTGCTGGTTTGAATTTAGTAATGAGGCAGACCAGAGATAATAGAGTCAGAGCAACCTCTTCCAGTTGAAATCCAAGTTGTTGATTATCACCTTTAAAATTCTCCATGGTTTCTCCATTTCTCCAAAATTCTCAGCACCTGGATGTCTTGGCTACCTTTGCCCAGTTGGTTCTGCTGGACTAATAAGGATAGGTAAAGGACCTCCCTTGGCAAGTCTTCTCTCAAGGAATGTCATCTCTAGGGGTCTTTTCAGTTGTGATTTCCATGATAGAACAGCAGCCCCCCCCCCTTGATCAATATGGCCCCAGTCCCTGCTAGGCTTCAGAAAAACTAATGATACCTGGCACTTAAAATAATGTTTCCTTTTATCATTGTGATTTGTTGAATTGAGTTCTTGTATTGTTCCTCCAATTAATTTATATATATATAATCTTATTAAGGAACAGGATGTGTAAATTATAATGATTGGAGTAGCATAGGTGGAAGAGAAGGGGAAGGGGAAGGCAGCAGCTATGTTGCAATGGATACTTTTTAATATGTATAGCTTGAAAATGTTAGCCGTTTACATGTGGATCTGCTTTATGGACCCAGTAGTGATTAATGTTTCCTCCAATGGAGGTATAAAAGATGGTAGGTAAGACTAACTAAAAGAATAAACAATTTAGAGCAAGCTATCTTGAGCTATATGCTATTCAATCTCACATTCCGAGATAAGACATGGGGCAAAGTGATGACTTTTTAACCAGAGAATCTTACATGATGCAGATGATTTACAGTAGATACATTCCAACCTGTTTTCTTTCTAGGTTTGTTGGAAAAAATTTCCTTTGAGTTTGATACCTGTCAACATCGCCCCTCTCTAGGCCAGCCAATAGGGATAGTAGGGAGGGAGGGAGGGAGGGAGGGAGGTGGAGGGAGAGAGACAAAGGTCTTTTTGATGGTGGTGATCCCATCTTCTTGGTTGGTTTTCAAATTGATATTAATATCTGGAGGATTTTAGTTACTTTTAATTAAGACGTGTATTGCTCTCTATTGCTTTATGCTGGTGCTATTTAATTGCTTTAATGTTTATTATAAAACCCTGTGGTTTTTTTTTTAAAAAATATTTAAATAGTACAGGTCTTGTTTTATAGGATGGTCCTTGTTTCAAGAAAACGTGAACTGTCTTGAGAAAGTATTGAAAGTAACTTGCAAGAAAGTTAAAATGAAAGAAATGTGATTGTCTTGAAAAGAGTAGCTTGACATCAGTCTCAAAATCTAAATACATCAGAGCCATGGAGCAAGTCTATACACTTCAGAAATGCTGCACCAAGGCCATTGGATGCTGCAAGCATCTACTTCTATAGGAAAAGGGTTACAGGTTCTTCCTGTGAAAAGCTGTATTCTCACTGCTGTACAACCCATGAGGGTTTGCAGGTGGAGGAGGTGCATAACATTATGTTCCAGGAAGGGTCAGTAATGGATCTAAAGCCCTTGAGAACAACACATCTCCAGAAACTTTCCAAAGTTCAGCTGTCCTGAATTGGTATACCCATGTCCAAAATGTTTAAAGCTGGGGAGGTCAAGAAAACCAATTCTCCAACAGCTGCTCTCTTCCATTCCCCATCTCTAGCTTTGCCCACAGCTACCAAGGCTTAGGAGAGTCTTTTCCAGAGAATTTCATCACCATCACTTCCCTTTGTTGCTGAAAGTAAATAAGGCTAAAGGAAGTAATGACAAACAACCACCACCACCAAGTGGTCATAAAAGAGCTACTTTGAAACAAGACTGATATTTTAGTGATCTACATATAAATGGCAAAGAAAGAAGTGCTTTTTGACTCTTCCCCCAACCAAAATAAATAAATAAATAAATAAATAAAATAGGATGTAGGTCTGAATCGAATTTGAATTATGTAATTCTTTTATAGATTACCTGTGGTGGACATAGAAATGAAATAATTAGCTCTAGCAAGAGATTTTAAGGTGCATCCTTCTGTTAATTTCCCTGATTTTGAAAAGCTACCCATGCTGTTATTTCCAACTCTCCCTTAAGTAGCTCAACAAGGCACATAATAAAGGTCTTGTCTTACATGTCTGTCATGATGCAGTTTAATAGTGTTATAAGGCTACATGGTGTGTGGTTGTCATGATAGTAGATTGCACAGGTTTGTATAGATTTACTGTCATTCTTTAGGCTTTTCATACATGACAGAGGTTGTCTGAAGCACAGCAGGAACATGAAGCTTGTAGGGGTTAAGTGTCCCTTGCCTCCTGGCCTCTGACGTATCCTCTATGCACACATACAGAGACAAGGTACAGGGTACATCTGTCACAGGACTGATGACATGATGGATTACCGGTCTCATTGTCAGTACATTCAGAATTACGCTGCTGTAGCGTAAAAAAAGTCTCTTTTTTTCCTCTTAGGTAGAAACTATTTCTACCCATCTTATTGCTCCCAAAATCAAAACAGGAAACAGTCCTTTGACTTCTGGCAATTCCCAGATGGTTGCTAGTTGTAATATTATCTCTGAGATCATTAGGCCATAATATCATTCACTGAAGGCTAGGAACTCAGCTTCAGGCATTTAAAAAAAAAACATTCTACCCATTTTTTTAAAAAAAGATCTTTAGTATATATTTATACTCAATCTGCCATTTTCAGATCTTCTTCTTCTTGTACAGTGGATGTGTAGGAGAAAGGGGAAGTGGGATGATGGCCAAAGATCTGAAAAGGGACATGCACATGTATCTTATTATCTCTGTGTAGCTTCTCCATGTGGACAGGAACCCCAGTCTCTCAAGATTACCAATCTTATCTACACATAGAGTTGTACATGAGAAATGCTCCTTTTTAGATCTTTAATGAGATATGCTAAAGCTCTTGTCTGCTCAAAATGAGTTTATTATGAGTAATTATGACCTCTGGGATTACTCTTGGCTAGTCAGAGGGTGTAATGGATCAAATATTGGACTTGGTTCAAGAAATCTTGGCTTCTTTTCCTTGCTTGGTTATGAAGTGGAGGTGGCATGTTCATCACTTGTTCAGTATGTTTTAGCTATTGGAAAGTCGTGATCAGGTATCCTCTATATAAAATAGAATGTCTGATAACGACCATAATTTGTTCCATAACTTTGGTCGCAACCCGATTTGGTTGTGACGCGAACCTAATTTTGGAAATTTGGCATTTACAAAAAAAAAAAAAAAAATGGTGTGGAAGGGGAAATCAGCTGTGAAAAAAAAAAGTGATTTTTTTGATTGGAACCCGATTTGATCATAGTCAGAAGGATTCGTGACCAGAGGTTCGACTGTAGTGAGGAAAAATAATACAATGCACATTTTCAAGTTTTGTTTATTTCCTGCAAGATAGAATGTAGTTTTTCATAGAATAAGGATAATGAATATTTTTTTTAAAAAAAAAACAGGATTTAAATTATAAGGAATATCTTAATTATTAAGATTAATTATTAAACCTGAAAAAAGTTAAATCTCTAAAAATGATTGATATAGGAATAATATTGGACAGTCATGTGATGGCTCTCCAGAAGTCTCTAACGCAAAGGAGAAATATGTATGATTTTACTAGATGGGCCAATAATTTAGATAAGCTTAGGTTACAGTCATAATTATATTCATCTGGCAGTAATTGTTACAGATATCAAAGAGGCATCTTTTAAGAGATAACACTTAGGGTTCTGGTAGCAAGTAAAACTCATAAGCTAGTATTTAATTCAGAAATGAATGAATCTACTCTTGAACCGATTGGTTGATATATTGCAATCTATAAAGCTTTGAGTTTAGGGCACTTTTTTAAAAAAAGGTTACCTTCATCTGTCTGGAGCTTGATAAGGTTGGCAAGAAACAAAAAAAAATTGCTGCTAGAGAACTGAACTGAAATATCTGAAGATGCTTATGATCAAATACAAGGAGTATATCTACATTATGTGTATATATTTGACCTAATTTTATGTTTTCTAAATCTTTGGTATATGTTTCTCAAGAGCATCTCTCAACACTAAAACAATTATTTTGGGGAGATGATTTCAGTCTCTTGTGCTCTCTATGATTTTGAAGTTTTGCTTTAGTTTGTTCTCAGTCATTTTTACTCAGAAAGAATTGTGCCACTGCGTGGATCTAAGTGCAGCCCTCATTCTCACGATTGCAGTGACAATGTCTTAATGCACGATCACCCATGTCTTAAAAGATCTTTTGATTCAAATGTGCTGGGGGAAAAAGAAACCTACAATTGTTTTCTTGTACTTACAAGTAACCCATATCAGGATCCATGTGGCGCAATCATTTGGAATAATTAAATTAATTAAATATAAATTATTGTATTGTTTATCAGATGTTTACATTCAGGAGCATACATGCAAACATGCTGCCTTCTATTTTTTTTTCCTCACAACAATCCTGTGAGGTAGTTGTAGTTAAAAGAAAGAGAGAGTTCAAAGTCATCTTCTATGGCCGAAGGTGGGTATGTTTTCATTCCTAATCCAGTACCTTAATAATTATACCACACTGGTCATACCTCACATTAAGGTCAATTCAATGGTTATAGGTTATAGGAAATACTGTGCATACCTTTTAAAATAAGTGCCATCCATTCTGAAAAACGCCATTTTTTTCCCATTTTCCCGCCTAGCAAAATACCAGAATCACAGCATTCTGTAAACAACAGAAGATATAATGAGAGTTCCTTCACTTTTAGACCCTAATTAAAATCTTATGTGACTGATTTGTCAATAAAGACTCTGTCTGCACAAAGTAAGCATTCAATTTTTAAAAAAAACCCTCTTCTTGGTCTGAGCCTTTTAAGGTTATTATATATAAGCAACTTCCTGCATATCTCTGATATGTTTCCTTTCTTTATAGGGATTTTATTACATGGCTGTCATGGAAGAATATTTAGCCAATCTTCCACCTGCAACAAAAAGTGAAACATGCCAAGAGCTTTGTCATGTGCTCTACTGTTGAGAAGCCTCATTTAAAGCTTGCAGTCTTATTTATTTAAGCTCAATGGCAACATCGTATGTTCAACTATATGAATTAACCTCCTATTGAAATCAATGCCACTTAAATGTATGTCACTGGATGATGGATTGTTACTGAAAGATTCTAGTTTTAAAATGCCTTTCAAGTCTTGCACAAATCAATAGGACTTACCTCTATGCAGTCACTCCAGGCAGAGAGCATAAGAATATTTGGTTCACTTTTGCCGTAATGAGTGCAAGAAAATACTCTCAAACGATGTGTGCATAGAACACAGACACATCCAGGCCCTACTGATGTGCTTTTGTTTTGAAGTTTTAATCAGGTTTAAAAGGAAAGCTATTCAGGGAAATTGTGTGGTCTGAATTTTAATCCATCAGCCTGTGCTTTATAGCATGTGGTGTGGCCTTGAATTGCAGAATGTTTCAAACATACATAATGAGCTCAATGTCAAACTGTTGGGCCTTTTGTCTTTAACAATAAGCACTTAGCTCAACTAAATGAATAGAAATTGCTGTAGTGAATTAGAAAAGCCAAGGTCTTTTCAATGCTCTAATTCTAACATTAATTATTTCAGACATTGTCTAATTTTTTTTTTTTTTTGCAATTATAGTAAGTTTAGAATTAAAGTTCCCAAACCCCCGAATATAATATTAGCAAGCAAATATTCCAAAGATCAAAGAAGCAGACTTTTCTGATCAAGGCTAAAATTTCATATAGCCAGTCAGTAACTTTTTTTTAATTGCTTTACTTTTTTCCCCCCAAATACTATCTTTAGGACATGTGACATCCTGATTTGTCAATAGAATGTTGAAAAGAGGAACCAAAAACACTCCACATAATCTTTCTAATTTGCAAAGAGATTAGATTTCCAGGACCCTGCCGCCTCCCACTTCTTCAAGACATGTATTCTAAAGGGCATTTGTAATAGAATTAGGCTTCCCCTTCTAATATTGGGGAGGGGGTACGAAAGTGAATTTGTTTTCTTTCCTGCACCCAAAGAACAGTATTCAAAAAATTACAGTGAATAGCAATTCATCCTTTAGAAATCCCTTCAACCCAGTTGCTGCTGGAGATCTGAATGCTTTCTCCTAAAGCTCTGTAATCCAATAAGCTTTTGTGTTTAGCAGCTTGTTTGAAACTTGTCTTGCACCCCGGCCTGTGCCTCTGTATGCTCCTTTGCAGGCAGGTGAGTGCCTGAGGGCCTATTTATTATTCAAGCCACGAGGCCTTCACAGCCCCATCCAGAATGTAATTTGTAATTAACTGTCATTTACTTCTGTCTGCATTGACTTCTTGTTCAAAAAACAATGCAGCTATGCTGGCCACTAGCTTGTCTTTGTGTGTGTGTGTGTGTGTGTGTGGTTATAATGTCTCACAGATCAAGCTATTCCTTCCCCACACACACACACACACAATATTTCAGTAAACACAAACACACACACAACACCGTTGTAAGAGAATTGATAGAATTATTTTCCCCAAACCAGCACAATTATGTTACACATCTGAGTTATGTGAAACATGGCACTTATGGGGAAGTCCTTTATCTAGGCGCCTGGTAACCATTGGTATGTTGATGAATTCAAATGAAAGCTGAGATTTCCAAAGACAATAGCCCCATTAAGATTTTAATTACTGCTTTCCCCCCACCTTGCTCTGGAAAGAGTCGCTTTTCAATTCTGGAGGTTTTTGTCATTCTCTGTGAGAATGGTATGTAACTGAGATTTTGAACTCACTTCCTGGTGATGTTATTTTATCAAAATATATGGAGATACAAAATCTAATGGGTGAGAGAAGGGACATTAGGCTGCTTGCTATTTATCTTAGTTTAGAATTCCTTTATAAAGCCTTTCTGTTTTTTTTAAAAAAAATACTCTGTAATTAAAAAAAAAACACCTAAATATGAAATTAAGTAACATCTAAGAATGCAATTTAATTGTTTTTTTTACAAAATACATGCATTTTAAAACTATTTTTTTATCCTAAGATAAACTTTTGGAGATGTCATTTGGTACTGTTTTGAGTTGCATCCTAAAATCTAAGGATTTTGCAGTATCTGCAGGAGTCTGAGCCACACATTAGTCTACATCAAAATTATCCAGGTTGCTTCTTTTCAAAATGTCATTCTAAAAATGACATGCATAACCATCCTTCTGAAAAGCATGTCCATAAAGCAACAGCCTACAACTACCTTCACTGCAGAGCTATAGAATCTAATCTCTTTGCAAACTATAGAGTACAGGTAGTCCTCGATTTACAACAGTTCATTTAGTGACCGTTCAAACTTACAACGGGACTGAAAAAGGTGACTTATGACCATTTTTCACACTTACGACCGTTGCAGCATCCCCATGATCATGTGATCAAAATTCAGATGCTTGGCAACTGGTTCATATTTATGATGATTGCAGTATCCTGGGGTCATGTGATTACCTTTTTCAACCTCCTGACAAGCAAAGTCAACGAGGAAAGAAGATTCACTTAACAACCATGTTACTAATTTAACAACTGCAGTGATTCACTTAACAACTGTGGAAGGAAATGTCATAAAATGGGGCAAATTCACTTAACAGATGTTTTAGTTGGCAACATAAATTTTGGGCTCAATTGTGGTCCTAACTCGAGGACTATCTGTAGTGTTCCAGCTGTAAAAGAATAGGGACTACAGTCAGTAATTTACACAATGTAAATAAAATATGTAAGCTTTCCTTTTCAACAGAGGTTTTCTATAGATTAATCAGGATAATAAAAATAAATTTGGTGACAACGCATATCTTGTTGAAATCTTATTATGAATTCATTGCAGTTTCACCAAATATTCACTAAACTGGTGTCCTTCAAAAATGTTAGAGCAGTAATTATCAGAATACCCAGAATTAGTGGCTATTATATTTCCAAAAGATCAGGAGGGTACTAACTTAAGAAAAGCTGATCTTACAACATGTGCTCTTGATATTTAGGATAGACAAGTTGCCGTCTCAGTCTATGTTGCCTGAAAAATTCTTTGATGGAACACAGAAGAATGATGCTTTCTAAGTATACAGCATCCATACCTTTGTATATAGGTGGTTGTGTATTTGCTTGTGGACCAATTCATACATTTCTATAATCATTCTATATGTAGACTTGGGTCCCTACCGTGTTCCTTGCCTAATCATCAGGAACTAAATGATTGTTGGTCTTGGCTTCCAAAAGTATTGGTGATAAAAGAGAAATCGTTCTTCACACAAAATATTGAACGGATTCATTAATGGAACCTCCTGTTATCTTTAGACACTTCCACTGGTAGATGTAATAAAGCAAAACAACTGAGTGGTGTGTGCAGGTTTATTTACTCATTCTCATTAAGTTGAATACTGATAAGCAGTGAAATGTTTCAAACCAAAAAAAGAAAAGAAGTCTAGTTGCCATGACTGAACTTCCAGATAAATATGCCATTGTTTTCATGCTGACCATCCTTCTCGCTCCATACCTCTTAACTGGGCTGCAAAACTCAGAATCATCATTAAATGGCAGCATAGAGACATAATCTTCTATTTTATTTCTATCTTTTCTGCCATCTAGTGTTCATCAGAACTTTTGTAGTCCAAACCTGGTAGCCTTACTTTAAGTAAACCTAATTTCATATAAGAGGAAACAATTATCAAAAATACTTTTATAAGAAACGATTATGATCACAGTTGTTAAGATTTTATTATGATTTTTATATTTCTTTCAAAGGGGAATTTTCAACCAGACAGTAGATGCAGCCATTCAACATTCATACATAAAGCTTCTGTTAGGAAGCTGGGTGAGATCATCTGTGGTTTTGGGGTGAAGTTCCATCAGTACGCGGATGACACTCAGCTGTACATTTCCACCCCGGACCACCCCAATGATGCCCTTGACGTGATGTCCCAGTGTCTGGAGGCCGTGCAGATCTGGATGGGGAGAAACAGGCTCAAGCTCAACCCTTCCAAGACTGAGTGGCTGTGGCTCCCGGCGTCCCGATATAGTCAGCTGGTGCCATCTCTGACTATTGGGGGCGAGTCGTTGGCCTCCATGGAGAGGGCTCGCAACTTGAGTGTCCTCCTGGATGCACGGCTGTCCTTAGAAGAACATGTGACGTCCGTGGCCAGGGGGGCTTTCTATCAGGTTTGCCTGATTCGCCAGTTGCGTCCCTTTCTGGATCGGGACTCCTTGTGCACGGTCACTCATGCCTTCATCACTTCCTGCTTGGACTACTGTAATGCTCTCTACATGGGGCTCCCCTTGAAGAGCACCCGGAGGCTCCAACTGGTCCAGAATGTGGCCGCGCGGGTGATTGTGAGAGCGTCATGGCGCTCCCATGTAACACCTCTCCTGTGCAAGCTGCACTGGCTTCCAGTGGTCCTCCAGGTGCGATTCAAAGTGTTGGTGACCACCTTTAGAGCGCTCCATGGCTTAGGACCTGGGTACCTACGAGACCGCCTTCTGCCACTAAGAGCTTCCCACCGGTCAGTATGCTCCCACAGAGAGAGGCTCCTCAGGGTGCCATCGGTCAAACAATGTCGACTGGTGGCCCCCAAGGGGAGAGCTTTCTCTGTGGGAGCACCTGCCCTCTGGAATGAGTTCCCCCGGAGATACGGAGAATTCCGGATTTACGTACTTTCCGCTGGGCCCTCAAGACTTTTTTATTTCAACAAGCCAGGCTGGCCTAACTTCTCCAATTGCTTAATTTTAATTTTAATTTTAAAAGGGGTATTTTAATTGTTGGGCCAAAATTGTTTAATATGTTTTTTAAACTGTTCTTAAATTTTTGTATTCTGTGTGTTTACCTTTGGCTGTTCACCGCCCTGAGTCCTTCGGGAGAAGGGCAGTATATAAATTTAAATAAATAAATAAATAAATAAATAAATAAATAAATAAATAAATAAATAAATAAAATAATTCACAAGATGTACTTGTTCTCCACATAGGCCCCATAGTCACATATTTGTCCTTATGTTTATTATCCTTTATCTTTATTATTATTATTGTTGATCTGTAGAATATATATATTCTACACACACACACACACACACACACACACACACACACACGTAGAATATATATGTATGTAGAACATATATGTGTGTGTGTGTGTGTGTGTGTGTGTGTGTGTGTGTGTGTATATATGTCTTTGGTTATTTGGGCTTTCCCCCATGTAAAATTAGAAGTATCTTGGCAACGTTTTGATGAAGTCTCATTCGTCATCTTCAGGCTGGTGTTTTTGGCCTCACGAGGCTGAAAACACCAGCCTGAAGATGA